AAAAGGTAGACATCAATTGTGAAGACAACTGAACCATAACATTTGCATGCTAATAGAAGCAAGAAAAGGGACTTCAAAGAAGGTGATATAACAAAGACAAAGAATCGAAAGTAAGATGGGTAAGAGCATGCAGTACCACATTGAGATTCCAATTATGGAGTGAAGCAGGGCAAGGAGGACAGGAATTGCGGAACAAACAAAAGAGCATTGACAAAACTGGCAACTGGAAGACACAAGCTTATTTGGAAACCAAGAGTGTGGCTGATAAATCCACCCAGTAACCTGAAACAGAGGAAACCAAAAACCTCTGTCAAAAGGCTGCCACATCACAAATGGATGTGAAGCAAGAAACATTAGGATGGGAAGGATGATAACCATGTCAGACAAACTAACAGTAATACATGTATGAATGATATTGCTAAACTGCTGTGGATGAAACCACATGGTACGAAAGTCTGACCCTTCTGGTGATGGACTGGACAAAAGCCACACATGAAGACAGAGTGTGGAAATGGATGGATGATGCATGCCTGATAGGGGCTGATGTCGTAGCAGCAGAGATAAAGGAAGGGGAGCAATACTAAAAGCCAATGCAGCAGTCTGAATTATGGCAAGGAAATGTGGGAGACAAGAAAATAGAAAGACAGGCATATAAGTACCAACTCTTCCAATCCAGAGAGCACCTACTGTCCTAGCCAAAAAAAAGGAAGAACAGGAGACAAAAATTGGAAAAGCAATGTATTAAAATGAGTGGCAAGTGACTAAATCTGAGACACCCCATTGAGCACACAACCCCCGAAAAACTTGAGAATTTAAAAACCACTCCATAAGTAGAATTTTGTCAGGACGGGATAACTGACAAAATTCTACTTATGGAGTCAGGATTCCCAGAAGAAGACATGCAAATAAAGTGATGTGATGACCCAATATATGAGATCCAACCTATGAAAACAGAAGTCTCACAAAAGAGTGCCCCTAGCCTGGAGATGTACAAGACTACTGTAGAATTTTCAGGATGTACCATCATCCACCAGCTCCAAAGAGCCTGCAGGAAGTGAATCACACTTGATGAACTGCAAGGAGAGCCAAGATTGATATGGAGAGAGAACTCAGTAAGAGTCTAACTCTCCAATACCTCCTGAGTGTCGAGATATGCCCCCACAACCAGAAAAATAAGTATCTGTAAAGGTGAGATTCAGATGAGGAGAAGATAGAAGAACACCCATGGTAGTGTTGTCCCGACTGAACAACCAGGTGGATTTACGCAATCCCCCATCTTGTGGGGAACAGCAAACAGATGAGAAGAAAATCCAGGATGTGAAAGGCCACCTCATTCAATGGCACACTTATAAAGTAAATCTCAAACCACCTCCAAAAGACTCTGGCACTGAAACAGGATCCCTTAAATGGAATTGGAGGACCCTCTGAGATGATTCTCAGATCATGCTATAAACCAGGTTTCGATACCCATGGTGGGCAGAGCACAGATAGCCCCTTTTGTAGCTTTGTGCTTAACTACAAACAAATAATAATTTAAATTTTCTTGGTTTTTAACTTTCACATGCATGTTAATTAAACATTTATACAGATTTCTAGTGGGACTTTGCAATGGTATAATATGTAATAAAGTTGCCATTCAAACTTCAAACCACCAATAAGTTATGTTATTCTTTATGAAGACATACTGGCTAGAAGCAACACCTCTGGATTTCCGTGCGATCGAACTGTTGAAATGGGCTCTAGGAAACCACTGTCCTCATACACTAGATGGCCACAGATAGCCCTCGTGTAGCTTTGCGCGAAATCCACAACAAACAAACACTAGCTGGAGCTGCATTAAAATAACTGTTTGTGAATATTTATACAGTAGGGACATGTTACTCGTTAATGGAATTGGAGGACCAGGCCCTCTGAGATGATTCTCAGAACCCAGGCATCCACAGCAAAGGACCTCCAAACTTGAGCAAATTGAAGGAGTCTGGCTCCCAAAATTATGTCTGACAGGCTAACAATGGCAAGTTTCTGAAGCCAGAGAAGTTGGAATCTGCAAGGTAACAGATAACAAAGTTGGGGTCCTATCTTCACAAAGTGATAAGTAACTCCAAATGATGTGGGGCTAAATAATGGAAGTTGGAACAATGATAAGCAAAACTCATCCACAGTACATGGGGTTGAGGCATACTGATCTCTGAACACAATTTCTCCCCCCAACATGACTCACATGAGCCCCAATATCCAGGGAAGGAAGAAACACAAAGTATTGACCCAAAGACTCATACCCAAGTAGGGCAGGGGTGGAACTATAGGAAACACGAGAAAAGGACAGAACATAACATAACTGATTAATCAAGTCCTCAAAAGGTGAAGGAAGCTTGGGCAATAACCCTGAAATGAAATGCAATTGATAGAGACATTCAGGAGGAGGAAAAGGGCTGTCTAAATCTTCCTTTTCTCAAACAATCAAATCTTCAGCAGGTATGATAGAACCATCTACAGTTTGTTCTGAATGTTGTATGAAATTGACCAATTCCTGAATGAACCATAGCTGTCACTTCATATGCCAACAACCTTGGTTCTGACCCTGTGTATGTGGTCAGGAAATCCACTGCAGGAGTAACAGCAGTCGAAGTTGTGACCACCTGAAATGACTTTCGGAAGTGAAGCAGGATAGAAGAGATAAAAGAAAAAATATAATTCATAACTCTTCACTAGAATTAGCAAAACATTAAATAACCAACGTAACTGACTTAGAAAAGAAGTTGAAAGGCCTGACAAACAAGAAAGTAAAAACTTTTGTGTAAGTCAATCAAAACTGTGAGTGAAAAACACGTCAATCGAAAAGTGGTAAATAGCTGCAAAATTTGAGAGGGTGCTAGTTATGATGGGGGGTAGTGTTGCACTCCTGTTGGTGGAGGCTGTATAATCAATTGCACGTTAGCATGCAGATATCTCATGTCAACAATATACGTGATGGTAAGTGAGAATTGGTTAGTGGCGAGTAAACATTTATGCAGTTAGAAGGCAGTATAAGTAGAGAAAAGTTTTTGGAGAAGAGGAAAAATATTGTATCAGAAAACAGAGTAATATTGATTAGTTTATTATTTTCATCAGTCATAATGCTAATCAGTTAAGCTGAACAAACTTGAATTAATCAAAAAAATATTGGAAATATTTTGATTCCTTGGATAGTTGGTATAAGTGAACACAGAAATAATCAGAAATACTGATTTCGATTAATTCATTATTTGTGTATGAATCATTTCAATGTGTGTGTGATGCTAATCAATGTTTTTGATGCAACTGATTATATCAATGAATAATTGTAATCACCTAGTTCAAGTAGCTAAAAAGATAAGAAAATCCTTTCCAACCATTTAATTGTTCATCAAAAAAGGACAACTTCCACATTTGCGGGCAATTTCTTTTAAACAAATGGACACTGTTTCCTCTATCTTTCTAATATAGCCAAATGATTTATGGCCAAAAGGCACATTTATTGTTCAATTAATCAACCCAATTAATGTATTTTAATTTATTAATTATTTTACATGAAACTAATTGATGAAATCTGTGTTCACAGATAATTAATTATATTGAATAATTGCTTTAATCTTCTAGCTCTATAAGCTACAGTGATATGAAATCCTTTACATTTCATTTGTTTATTAATAAAGATAGCTTCAACATTGGTGGATAGTTATCTGTTTTTTTTTTTTATATACAAATGGAAATAGTTTCCTCTTTCTTTCAGATACGGCCACATGACTGATGGCCAAAAGGGTTATGTGATCATCAAAATAATACACTAATTTTGAAAAACTAAAAAAGAAATTAGACCCTCAAAATTTTTTATAAAAGTCTATAATGATATTATGAATAATTATATGGTATTTCAGGTGATTGCTTGAGCCATATAAATATCACATCATAATAAGTTGACAAGCCAATAACTAACAGTAAACATCTCTCTTATTTCAAAAAAATCATAGTAGTAGTGCCATCTATCTAAAGTGTCAGTATTGTTTATTTTTGAATTTCGTGCAAAGCTACATGAGGGCTATCTGTGCTAGCCATCCATAATTTAGCAGTGTAAGACTAG